CAATTAATAACCCTATAATTTGTTAAAAATATATGTGTATACTTACTCTTTCTTCACTTCTTCATATTTTTCTTCATCAATTTCAGTGTTAATGGTAAAATAAAATTTTTTTTCTCTTACAGTTGTCTCCCGTTTTTTTATCCTTTGAAAACCAAAAAATGATATAACCAATACTAAAAAGCTCAAAAATAATAAAGTTGATACTGGCGGAATGAAATATCTCTGTGATTCACGTATGGCTAGAATTTAAGAAAAAATAATTCATTAAGTGGATAGAACATAAATTTAAAAAAAATTTGATTTTAACTACTGAATTAGAAATCTAGAAAACAACTACAGTACATATTCAGTTATTGCAACCTAATAAAAACCAAGGTTGTTCCAAATACCCAGTTATTGCACTTACCGAGGAAAAACTCACGTAACGGATCTAACATCAGAAATAGGTAGATACATAATAGAACTAGAAATTTCTTTTATTCTTATATTATAATTATTGTACAAATTATATATCTTACAATGTTAGGACCCATTATATATACATCCATATTTATTTATAATAAAGAATTATATAAATGTAATTTTAACTTTTTTCAACAAAAATATTTGTAATTAATAATTGCTTTCTATAGCAAGTAATACTTTTCAGTACTACTTTTTCTTTAAGTTTTTTTAAAATTAAAATATCATGTAAGGGCATTTCATTCTATAGGTTTTTCAGAAATCTCTAGATTTTGCGAGTATGATCTGAGATCAATTTTATAGTAGCACTTCAATTTAAAAAACCAACTAAGGTGTCTGACACTTAGGAAAATCAAAAGAGCAGTATTTTCCAATTTGGGAACCACCTCCTACAGGAGGCTGTTCAGATTGGCAATTCGAAAACTTGAACTTACCCATGTTAGTTTCATCGGTTTCAATCTGTTTGATATAATTATTAATGAAAGATATTATAAAGGACATAGTTTGTATTAACTTTGAGATTAGTTGTATAGGAATCTAATATTAACCACGATTAGTTCTATTATGTTATTAGTTTGGCACAAAAAAACTGATTCTGATTAAATATATCATTTAGTATCTGACAACTAATACCAAGCAAAACAGACACAAATCTGCTACCGCATTACCCATAATTTTGCTAATGTTCGGTAAGACTAGAAAGGTTCCTGTGTGTGGTGTACCAAGAAGTTTGTTCTAAGAACCACAAATGGCAAATTATTAATTTGAAACAAGCAAAATTTTGTGCCTTGCAGTATATGTAAATTCTAAAAGAATTAGTAATATTAGTGATTTTAAGTACAGTTGTCATCTAAAATATATATTGAGCAGAATATATAACTTTTGCAAAATCAAAATTACATTTGTTTTTTCTTTTATATACGTTTAATTATAAGTTTTTATCTTCCATTTCATAATATTGAATATAGCAAAAAACATATTTATTTTACTTACATTCTGTTAAACCTTGAAGAAAGTATGAAGGCATTCCTGGTAATCCTTTCTGTGCTGTTAATATTACCAAAACAAGGGGTCCAGTAAAACATATTAATATAAACACAATAAAATTGCTGTATACAAATGTTTTACTATTCCCTTTATTCATTGGAATTTTGATCCTAAAGAGACATTACAATAAAATGGAATTGCATATATTAAAAACTATTTATGGCAACAACAAAATATATTTATAAATATATTTATCAGAATATCTTACCAAATATTAATAAGAACATTGCAACAAAGACAGAAGAACCAAAAGAAGTATGAAAGTACAAAGAATTGCACAATATATCCCAAATTTAATGATTTAATGCTATATATATGAGCCAACGAATGAAGAAAATATCCAATCGCTAAACATAACGACATTGAACTTAACGAAAGCCCATGCAGACTCCTTAATTCTTTAATGCTCAAATGTAAGTAAGCCAGAAATAAAAGACATGGAATTGATATTAGCATTAAGATTGCTACAGTAATTATTTGTCCTCTCTTTAAATGCTCCTCTACTTGAGTAATACAAATAAAAGCATATGTAGTTCCTGATCTGTTGTCTACGTCTAAACAATATTTTTCCTCAACTGTGTATGAAGTGTTTGCGTATTCATCCATAATAAGTAATGAACCATCTTGTAAAACATAAAATATGTCATCCAGGTTATTATAGACAATTGATCTAAGAAATTATGAGGTGTAAAATGCATATATAGATTATTTTATTAAAAAATCTTATTCAACTTACGTATTACATGGATTTCCAATTTCATATAGCAAGGATATTTCTATTTCATTGTCTTCAATACAATTATCATATAGCACTACATTAATAATATTTGGTTTAAATTCCAGCCGTGACGAATCACACATATTATTGTTCTGATTTTCACCATAAATGCTTAAACTTTCTCCTATAGGACAACACTTTTTCAAACGGGAATTTGATTGTTTAGATGGTTGGTTTTTTAATTTTTCACGCTGCGAACAATCTTCAGGATGGTAATTTTTCTGCTCTTCAGATTTATTAAACACATCAGACACTTCATTTGAAGCAATACGTTCTATATTTTCCCTAGAAATATTTAGCACTATAATTATATATGAAATATGATCAAAAAGTAACGGAAATGTAGAAAATATGAGTATTATATCTTACATCTTTGTTTATGTATTGGTTGCAATGCTAATTACATACGAGTTGATTTTATGCTTTGCTTGTATTTGAAGAGCGAAAAAGCATAACGTATATTAGTGCCTTTGGGAATTTTTTTGATTAAAGAAATGTCAGATCATAAAGTTTATGTGAAATTTTATGCTAAAAATAAGTAACATACAATGAAGTATTCAAAATATTAAAAAAGACCGCTAGACACGATATGATCTCAGGATCCCTAGTGCCTTTGGGAACTTTTTTGATTAACGAAATGTCAAATCAGAGAGTTTATGTGACACTTTATGTTAAAAATAAGTTACATACAAAGAAGTATTCAAAATATTAAAAAAAGGCCTCTAGACATGATATGATCTCAGGGTCCCCAGTACTGTTTTAGTACTGGCAATGCACAACTTATCATATGTTTTATCTTATATATATAATTCTTCTGTACGTGTGTTGACAGTGAACTTCTCCTAAACGACTGAACCGATTTTGATGAAATTTTTTGTGTATGTTCAAGTGGATTCAAGGAAGGTTTAGATTCACAATTTGACCCACTGTGTAATGTCTTTTTAATTAATTTTTTATTTTTTGGTATCCATATACATTTATATTAAAAATTTTAAATTTATCCATGCTTACTTTGATTTGTTTAAAAAGTTTAAAATCTCTAAAATGAATCGTAAAATTGCCGTTGCATAGCTTAAGTGCATTATAATTCCGCAGTATAATTATAGGTGAGCCAATTTTTAATCTTAAGTTATGTGTTGGTATTCCTGGTATTCCAGCGAATTCAACAGGATAGCTGAACGATTCATTTTAGAGTTTAAACTTTTTAAACAAATCAAAATAAGCATGAATAACTTTTAAAGGTCTAATATAAATGTATATGGATACCAAAAAACTGTATAATAATTAAAAAAACGTTATCCAGTGGACCAAATTGTGAATCTAAACCATCCTTGAATTGACTTGAACACACACAAAAAAGAAGAATTATATATATAAAGATATAAATAACGTACAAAAAACAATGCCACGTCTTCGTGGACGAGGAGGAAATATTGGTCGACGGACTCGGAATTCACAATTACTCCAGAACCGTCGGGTAAATAGATCGGCAGAAAACAATGAAAATGTAAGAAACCAGGATGCAATCACACGTGCTAATGAAAGTCAAGAGCAACACAACGAACGTCTGCGAGCTAATGCATTGATACAAAGACTGGCCCGTCAACGAGTCACCGACACATTCAGAACACGTGAAAAACAGCGTTTGCAAGTGTATCGCGCATTGACACGTGCATCATTTCATCGCCTTGCGTTTGAATATGAGTCGGATATCGACTATTCATCACATTCACGAATTGTAATCAGTGCTATGAACAAACAGTGCCAACACTGTCATGCACCCAAATACAAAGGTGAATCGGCCGGTTTCTGCTGCGCATCTGGAAAAGTTGTATTGCCACCATTGAATTCGCCGCCAGAACCAATGAAAGCACTATTGGCTGGAGCTACATCTCAATCTAAATTGTTTTTTCGTAAAATTCGCAAATTCAATTCGTGCTTTCAAATGACATCATTTGGAACAACAAAAATCGTTCAGAATTAGAATGGTCGCAATTTTCAATCAACATTTAAGATTCAGGGCTAAGTGTATCACCAAATTGGTTCTTTAATGCCGATGCCCAATAACGATCCCAAATTTCTGCAAATCTACTTCATGGGTGATGAGAAGTAGCAAATAAACGCACGTTGCCAGTACAACCATATCGAGCAGATGGAGGAGCAAGAAATTGTGGGTATTTTAGAACCGTTTTTAAAAAATCACAACCAGTTGGTCCAGTTGTTCAATACCGTTTCAAACCGACTGCTAAACGACAACTATACAATCGTCATAAAAGCAGACAAAGTACCATCTGGGCAGCATGCGGGCCGATATAATGCACCGACTATTAATGAAGTTGCAGTTGTTATGGTTGGCGACGCATTTGAACGTCAAGATATATGAATACAACGCAGAGATAACACAGTGCATACGATTGATGACAGTTATCGCTCTTACGACGCTTTGCAATATCCATTGATATTCTTTTTTCATTTAAAATGCAGTGCTTATAAGGATTTGAAAATATTTGTAACATAAGTAATGCATGTGGACTTTTTGTAGTTCAAAAGAAAAAATCAATTC